CCCTTGATCACCTTCAGAACTCCGTTAGCAGCCTTAAACTCGCATCCTTTGCTTTCAAGAGTGCCCATTGAAATCAGATTCCTGGATATGTCTGGCATATATCTCACATCATTGAGAAGAAACGTCGTACCATCACTGTTCTGAAACCTCACTGATCCTATACCCTTAATATCAGAGACACTGTTGTTGGCCATTCTAACCCTTCCTTGTGATGTCTCTTGAAGGTTTACGAACACATCTCTTCGAGGGGTCATGTGAAAAGAACAACCCGTGTCTAGGACCCATTCATCAGAGTCAGCTTCCAAAGCATTCGCCTCAGCTACTAGTAACCCTACCAGGTCTCTAGCATCATCCTTTGCTAGAGATGCTTCACCATCATCTTTACCGTGTTTCTGATCTTTGTTCCTCTCCAGCCATTTGTGACATTGTCGTTTAAAATGTCCTTCCTTGCCACAAGACCAGCACAGACGTTTTCCTTCTTTACTCTTAGACCTTGACCTGTGATTGTTTTTACCTGCAAACACATGTCTATTCCTACTTTCCGACCTACCTCTAACATAGTTTCCTTCCCCATTCAACTTAGCAGTGGATGATTCCTTATATTCCATTTCCTTAGATCTAGCAGCACTAGTAATATCATCCACACTAATAGCCTCTCTACTATATTTCAGTGTTTCTTTGAGAGAGTCATACCTGCTAGGCAATGCGTTGAGTAGCAGTATAGCTTGAACCTCCTCGGGGATCTCTATGTTGAGGTTGTTTAAGTTCGCAACGAGCTTGAGGAAGTCATCAACGTTCTGATCTATTGTCTTTGATTCTTGCATCCTGAAGGCGTAGACTTTGAGCTGTGCGTGAACTCTGTTAGGGAGAGTCTTTGCCATGTACAGCTTGTCCAGGAGTTCCCAAGCTTCAAGTGCAGTGTTGCATTTGTCAAGCTTCCTAAGGACGTGGTCACCGACGCTCATGAAGATTATATTCAACGCCTTCTCATCTCGTTCAGATCTTGCTGCTTCCTCACGATCCTTCTTCTTCTTGGTGTCGTCATCGTCTTCTTCGTCTTCACCAGACTTGATCGTCACTAGAGCTTGTGACGGGGGCGAAAGAACGTCTTTTAAACCTTGAACGCTTAGGTTAGCGAGCATTCGTTTCTTCCAGATCGCGAAATCTCCAGTACCGTCGAACGTTGAGATCTTGATCTCCATCTTCATCTTGTGAGTTGTCATCGCAAGATTGTCTTCCTCGCCAATCAAATCTTCAATTTCAGAATCGATCTGAAAGACGAACGGAAGAACCCTAACCGCCGATCTTGATCTTCAATGAGACTAACTCCGATTCCTCTAACCTTCGGCTCTGATACCAATTTGTGAAGATAACACCTCTTCTATCTGATCGATTACTGAAGAAACTACAGAGCACACGAGCAAGTGTTTACCCGGTGTTCACCGCACCACACCGTTAAAGAGGTGTGGCCGCTATATCTCACCGGAGCCGGGATTGAACCGGCAATGACTATACCTTCGACGAGTGAACTCACAAGCCGAGTCACCGCCTTTACAACTGGNAGCTCTATAACAAACTAAACGGTTAATCATCTCTTATATACGAGACAATCATAAACCGTCACACGTGCACAAACCACACGCGTGTAAAACCTAGAGAGAGAGATCCGGTTTAAATCAATTACATACTTAACCAAGACTAAACCAAGTCCTAATCTAATCGTATGAACCTAACCAATTATAAGACTTGTCTATCCTAACAGAGCAGATTTCCAAAGATAGTGTTTCTCATTTTCAGACAAGAAGACAGCTTTTTGTAATAAGTTTATCTCACAAGGATACATCATTCTATAAGTAACAGAAAAGTGTGAGTAACCTTGATAGTTAAGACTTACGAGCAGTTAAGAGAATACACCTTGTTTCATCTCTGAGTCACTCAGCGATTCAACTAGGTTGAGGAACGACTCATTGAACTCCCCGAATGAGCCTTCTAGGTAGTTGATGTTCTTCTTAGCGATTCTTGTTCTTCTTAACACCTTGCTGGCATGTTTCCTCCTCTCGTCAGAAATGGATTTCGCTTGCCGTAAATCATTTTTGTTTAGGGATTTCAATATTTAGAAGAACAAATGCATATAATTCTAACGGAACAGTTACTAACTTAAAGTCTGACTATTTTGATCATTAATTTTCCAAGTCAACATTTAATTGAGGATTAAAACCGTGCTAGTTATACTTCAGTATTTAACTTGCCAATTACAAATAGTTGAGGAGTTAAAAGCTCATTTTCCCATCTGGATGAAGGGTATTATTCCCCAGGTGGTTGTGTGGGTGGCAAATAGAGAAGATCCTGTTACAGACTCCTCGGCTAATCTTACTATCAGCAGCAATGGATCCCTTCTATTATTTAATGGTAAACATGGCCTTGTCTGGTCCAGTGGAGTGACTTTCACATCTAACAGGTCTAGAGCTGAGCTTCTGAACAATGGAAATCTTTTTGTCATGGGCATTTTATTAAGAAAAACTATGGCAAAGTTTGAGCATCTGGGTAATACTATGCTCCTTTTCTCAAGCCTCAAGTATAATCTCCCCACCGGGAAGAAGCAGGTTTTGACTTCTTGGAAGACGAACACCGATCCATCGCCTGGTGACTGTGTGGTCCAGATTACACCTCAGGTGCCATCTCAGGTGTTTATTATGAGAGACTCGACACCTTAATGGAGAAGCGGTCCATGGGCTAAAACATGGTTCACCGGGTTACCACAAATGGATGCATCATTAACAAGTCCACTTAGCCTTCAGCAGGATGCAAACGGGTCAGTTTCTTTCACTTATGTAGACACAAACAACAAACTTCCACGTATAATGATAACACCGGAGGGTTCAGTGAAGAATTTTCAGCATAATGGGACCGACTGGGAATTAAAATTTCAGGCTCCAGCGAATACATGTGATTATTATGGTGTATGTGGCCCTTTTGGGTTGTGTATTATGTCGGCATATATCTCCAACGTGTAAATGCTACAAAGGGTTTGTACCAAAATCCATTGAGAAGTGGAAAAAAGAAACTGGACCAATGGTTGTGTGAGGCGTACCGAACTACTTTGTCAAGGAAAAGACATTGATGATGTTACCAAGGAAAACATCTTTCTTCCTGTTGCCAGCATAAAGCCTCCAGACAATTACAAATTTGCTCGTGGTTACAATGCTATAGATTGCTACCGAATTTGCCTCGACAATTGTACTTGTTTGGCCTTCGCATTTATTAATGGAATAGGGTGCTTAGTGTGGAACCACGAGCTAATGGACGTAGTGCAGTTTTCTGAAGGTGGAGAGATTCTGTCCATTCGTCTTGCAAGTTCTGCATTAGGTGTGGGTTGAATTATATCATTTAAACGTTTATCCTCAACTCCACTGATATTGTTCTTTTGGTAGTAGCATTGCTTATTGTTTGGCTTATATATATATATATATATATATATATATATATATATATATATATATATATCTCAGATGGAAATAGTCGAAAGAAGACCACTGTTGCTAGTGTTGTCAGCATTTCTCTTTTAGTGATGTTGGGTTCTGCTGCCTTTTGGATTGTGGAGATTCAGAGTTAAGCATAACGGTACACACTGATGATTGAAGATTATTTATTCATTTTCTTGCTACACTGATACGCTTCTAATGTATTCTTGCAACTCCAATTTCAGGTAAAATATCAAAGGATGTTCCACAAGATGCATGGAGGAATTATCTGGAACCACAAAATGTTTCAAGTTTATCTTTCCTTGAGATGAGTACCATTGAAACAGCCACAAATAATTTCAGTCCGTCAAGTAAACTTGGCAAGGTAGATTTGGTATTCAGTTTACAAGGTAAAGAGTATATTTGTCCTCTTTGCTCTTTTGTATTAGTATCTCTTTATTTTCTCCAGATGACAACCATGTCCGAACTGTTTGAGGGAAAGCTACAAGATGGGAAAGAAATAGCTGTAAAACGGCTTTCTACCAACTCAGGGCAGGGCAAAGAGGAGTTCATGAATGAAATTGTACTCATCTCAAAACTACAACACAGAAACTTAGTTCAGATATTGGGATGTTGCACTGAAGGAGAAGAGAGACTATTGATCTATGAATTTATGCTGAACAAAAGCCTTGATACTTTTATCTTCGGTAGGTCTCTTCTTGCCTCATTCTTTTCATAGCAGAAGTTTTGTCTTTTTTTTTTTTTTTCTGATAGTGTTTACACTGTATTATTTGCTTAGATTCAAGAAAACGGATTGAGATAGACTGGTCAAAGAGGTTTAATATCATCCAAGGTATTGCACGTGGACTTCTCTATCTCCACCGTGAGTCACGCCTGAAGGTCATTCACTGAGACCTGAAGGTTAGCAATATTCTTATGGATGAGAAGATGAACCCAAAAATATCAGATTTAGGATTGGCTCGGATGTATCATGGAACCGAGCATGAGGAAAAAACTCACAGGGTAGCAGGAACTTTGTAAGAATCCATTTTCAGAAGCATGATTCATAATCATATAGCGAAAACTTAGGGAAACTGTTTGATGTGCACAAAGGATATATGGATTATGAATCATGTCCATAAAGAGAGATCTAATTAATTAATAATTTAATCATATATTTATTCATATAGTCAGTCATCTTTAGTTGATGCAGAGGTATCTATCTATCTTTTACTGAAATGAAAATGACAATATTGCTGCTATAGGTCCAACGTTGCGTGGTTGATTGGGTAAAAGGTTAGGCTTCTTCGTGGCAATGACTTTCTGTATTATTTAATAAGTTTTAAGTTGATCCTAAATAAAGTAATAGAGAATTTTGGAACATAAGTGCAATGTGGTCAAACATTGTTATTAGGTGCTTGAGAATAGTCTCCCAAGTCCCTGATTTTCTTTTCTTTGCTTACTTGCTCTTATTGAAATGTTCGCTTCTTAAACTAATATGAAAGATAGGAGATCATTCTTGGAGAGACAAGAAAGCACATGAGGATGACGAGGTTTGCTTGTTTGTTCTTGCTTACCATGATCTTAAGATCTAGCTATGCTGCTATAAGGCCAACAAGTCCTTTGTTAGTAGATCAGACTCTAAGCTCCTATAACGAGATTTACGAATTGGGATTCTTCAGTCCTAACAACTCCGAAAATCAGTATGTTGGAATCTGGTTCAAGGGTATCATTCCACGGGAGGTTGTGTGGGTGGCCAATAGACAAAAGCCTGTTACAGACTCCAAGGCGAATCTAGCTATCACCAGCAATGGAAGTCTACTCTTATCTAATGGCAAAGATGGAGTTATCTGGTCTAGTGGAGACACTTTTGCATCTAACGGGTCTCGTGCAGAGCTTTCAGACACTGGGAATCTTATTGTCATAGACAAAGTGTCTGGAAAAACTCAATGGCAAAGCTTTGACCATCTTGGCGATACCATGCTTCCTTTCTCAACCCTGATGTATAATCTTGCTACTGGTGAGAATCAGGTCTTGACTTCTTGGAAAAGTAACTCTGATCCATCCCCTGGCGACTTTGTGGTTAAGATTTCACCTCAGATGCCAACACAAGCTTTTATTATGAATGGTTCAACGCCTTATTGGAGAAGCGGTCCATGGGCTAAAACAAGGTTCACTGGGGTACCACTAATGGATGAAACATATACAAGTCCATTCAGCATTCAGCAAGATGCAAACGGGTCAGGATCCTTTACTTATTTAAATAGAAACTTCAAACTTCCACGTATAAAGATAGAGCCAGAGGGATTGCTGACAATATCTCAGCATAATGGTACCGGCTGGGTACTGAATTTTAAGGCTCCAGTGAACACATGTGATTATTATGGTGTATGTGGACCTTTCGGGTTGTGTCTTATGTCAGTACCTCCAAAGTGTAAATGCTTCAAAGGGTTTGTACCAAAATATAGTGAGGAGTGGAAAAGAGGAAACTGGACAGGTGGTTGTGTGAGACGCATTGAACTAGATTGTCAAGGAAACTCTACTGGAAAAGATGCAAATGTCTTCCTTCCTGTTGCAAACATAAAGCCTCCAGACTTTTATGAATATGCAAGTTCTGGAGATGCTGAAGAATGTCACCAAAGTTGCCTCCACAATTGTTCTTGCGTGGCCTACGCTAATATTCATGGAATAGGCTGCTTAATGTGGAATCAGGAGCTAATGGACACTGTGCAATTTTCTACTGGAGGAGAACTTGTTTCCATTCGTCTTGCGCGCTCTGAACTAAGTATGGAAAGATCTACGTGGTCATTTTACATCTGTATATAAAAGTCCATTTATACTATACGTTTTCCGATAGCAGCATGGGACTTAATGTTTAATATTGTTTTTTTTTTTAATTATATATCTCAGGTGGAGATAAGCGTAGGAAGACCATTGTTGCAAGTACTCTGAGCATTTCTCTTTTTGTGATATTGGGTTCTGCTGCATTTTGTTTATGGAGATACAGAGTGAACCAAAACGGTAAGACACTTGAGACCTAGTATCTCTTTATCATATTTTGTTGTTTATCTGTTCATTTTCTTGCTAACATTAACACATTGATAACTTTACTATCAATCTATTTCAGTTTCGGAAATAATATCAAAGGATCTTCCACAAGATTCATTGAGGAATGATCTGGAACCAGAAGATGTTTCCGGTTTAACATTCTTTGAGATGAATGCCATTGAAACTGCCACCAATAATTTCTGTCTCTCAAATAAACTCGGACAAGGTGGATTTGGTTCAGTTTATAAGGTAGAATTTTTTTAATCCTCTGCTTTTTTTTGTATTCTCTGTTTATATTCTCGTGATGACGACCTTGTACAATCTGTTTCAGGGAACGCTGCAAGATGGGAAAGAAATTGCTGTCAAACGTCTTTCTAAAAGCTCCGGACAAGGAAAAGATGAGTTCAAGAATGAGATAGTACTCATCTCAAAACTACAACACAGAAACTTAGTCCGGATTTTGGGATGTTGCATTGAAGGAGACGAGCGGTTATTGATTTATGAGTTCTTGGTGAACAAAAGCCTTGATACTTTTCTCTTTGGTGAGTCCCTTCTTAACCTCCTTACTTTACTGTTAGCTGCTTAATTTTTCATTATGTAGAGCTGTTTATCTTATCATTTGTAGACGTTATTATTGGTTAGATTCAAGAAGAAGGCTCGAGATTAATTGGCCTCAGAGATTCAATATCATTCAAGGTGTTGCACGTGGACTTCTCTATCTCCACCGTGACTCACGCCTCAGGGTCATTCACCGGGACCTGAAGGTTAGCAATATTCTTCTGGATGAGGAGATGAACCCGAAAATATCAGATTTTGGATTGGCTCGAATGTTTCAGGGAACCCAACATCAGGACAACACTCACAGGGTTGTCGGAACACTGTAAGAATATATATTAATGCCTAACAAGATTCATTAGTCGTCACCGTATCATAACAATTTACATGCTTGCGCAGAGGATATATGTCTCCTGAGTATGCATGGACCGGAGTGTTCTCTGAGAAGTCAGACATTTATAGCTTTGGAGTTCTGATGTTAGAAACCATCAGCGGAGAGAAGATCTCAAGGTTCAGTTACGACAAAGAGAGCAAAGGCCTTCTTGCATATGTAAGCAACACTTCTTCAGGTCTCAAAGCTTTTCTTGCTCTTATTTATATGCATATTTGGCTGATCTGAAAGTAAAAAAAACAGGCATGGGAATCATGGTGTGAAACCAAAGGAGTTAATTTTTTGGACCGAGATGTTGCTGATTCATGTCAGCCATCTGAAGTTGGACGATGTGTTCAGATTGGTCTGCTATGTGTTCAACACCAACCTGTAGACAGACCAAACACTCTTGAGCTGTTGTCTATGCTGACCACGAAATCAGATCTTCCATCACCAAAACAACCCATATTTGTAGTGCACGCGAGATATGGCGAATCCACGTCTAAGGATTTGATCACTATCAATCAAATGACACAATCTGTGATCCAAGGGCGTTAAGAAACGACATTTTGTGGAGTTGTTGTGTGTTAGATTGTTCGTTGATCGTTAGTGAGTAGACCAAAGGATTCCTTAATGGAATCAACTCGTTAATGTTAATAACCTTAATTTCGTTCCTATTTTTTTTTGTAAGATGATTTCATTAAGTAACAAGGAAAAAAATCAGCTTTGGATGTTATCTTTTTGATATGAGATTTAATAGATATCAATGTCATTAATTTCTCTCACAGCTTTAGCCTTGAGTCCTTGACTGAAGTCTAACAGAATGGTGTATCGTCTTTGTGCGTCTCACAATTTATAAGCTCTCTCACCAGTGACATAGACACACCAGTATTGAAGTCGGGGAAATGCCTGAACAAGATAAAACGTTTTAAAAGCTGCGCTATAATTACCGTGCAAAATCTGAAACAAGTATTTCATAAACCACTAAGACATGCCTGATTGATTATTATTCCCATCACCTCATTTGTTCATATAATCAGTGCAGAGTGTAGATACTTATCTTTCAATGTGAACAATACGATATTTCAACCTGAGTTCAATCAATGAGTGGTTGACAAGTCAAATGTTTATGTCAAACTGTGAAGTTTTTCATCTTTCGATTGATGAACAGAATAGGTGCCTATCTTTCATTGGTTGAGTGTAAAAGGCTGAACTTCTTAGAAATTACGTGATTTAGATAGTATTATTAAATAAGGTTAAAGTAATGCATAACTTGTGGTCAACATTATTTACAAAAGTTCTCACAAGTTTGCTTCTTCAAAATCCGAAGAAAGAAGTTATAGTTTTTGGAAGAATATGGAGAAGAAGAGGAGCGTGTTCTTTGCTTCTTTGCTCTTGTTTACCATGTTTTCAAGTTTTAGCTTTGCACGGATAACGACAGAGAATCCCTTGTCAATAGGACAAACACTCAGCTCCTCTAATGAGATTTATGAACTGGGGTTCTTCAGTCCTAATAACTCCCAAAATCAGTATGTTGGGATATGGTTCAAGGGTATCACTCCACGGGTGGTTGTTTGGGTGGCCAATAGAGAAAAGCCTGTTACAGACTCAACGGCAAATCTTGCTATCACAAGCAACGGAACTCTTGTCTTATTAGATGGAAAGCATGGTGTTGTGTGGTCAACAAGAGAAACTTCTGCAATTAACGGGTCTCGCGCAGAGCTTACAGACGAAGGAAATCTTATTGTCATAGACAATGTTTCGGGAAGAACTCAATGGCAAAGCTTTGAGAATCTTGGTGATACTCTGCTACCTTTCTCACCCATGACGTATAATCTGGCCACCGGGGACAAGCGGGTGTTGACATCTTGGAAAAGTCACACTGATCCATCTCCTGGTGACTTTGTGGCTCAGATTACACCGCAAGTTCCAACACAGTTGTTTACTATGAGAGGCTCGACGCCTTATTACAGAACTGGTCCATGGGCTAAAACAAGATTCTCCGGGATACCACTAATGGATGAAACATTAGCATGTCCATTTAGCTTTCAGCAGGGTGCAAATGGGTCGTGGTCTTTCTCTTTTGTGGACAGAAGCTCAAAACTTTCATATCTAATTTTAACATCAGAGGGTTCACTGAAGAGATTTCGGCACAGTGGTACCAAATGGGAAGTAAGCTATCAGGCTCCAGCCAATCCATGTGATTACTATGGTGTATGTGGACCTTTTGGGTTGTGCAAAATGTCAGGATCGCCAAACTGTGAATGCTTCAAAGGGTTTGTACCAAAATCTGCAGAGGAGTGGAAAAGAGGGAATTGGACTTCTGGTTGTGTAAGACGTACTGAACTAGATTGTCAAGTAAAATCTACTGGGAAAATTGCAAACGTCTTCCATCGTGTTGCTAACATCAAGCCTCCAGACTTTTACAAATTTGTAAGTCCTGTGAATGCTGATGACTGCTACCAAAGTTGCCTCCACAACTGTTCTTGCTTGGCCTTTGCTTTTATTCGTGGAATTGGGTGCCTAATATGGAATCAAGAGCTATTAGACGTAATGAAGTTTTCTGCGGGAGGAGAGACTATTTCCATTCGTCTTGCACACTCTGAACTTGGTATGGATTAAAAAGTTATTACATGAAAAGTGAATATTTATTTGTTTCAAGAGGAGCACAGCTACTTCTTGCATTGTATTATATTTATTTGCTTTTATTTCAATACATCCCAGATGGAAATAATCGCAAGAAAACCATTGCTGCCATTGCTGTTAGCCTTTCCTTCTTTGTGATATTGGGTTCTGCTGTGTTTGGTTTCTGTAGATACAAAGTGACACGTAACAGTATGTCTCTCTTTCTCTATATCGATCTCTTCTTGCTTGCTTACAGTAACACACTGATGACTTTACTATATATCTTTCTTTTCTTGTAACTCTAATCCAGCTATTATGTCAAAGAATGTCTCACAAGATGCATGGAGGACTGGTCTGAAACCACAAGACGTCCCAGGTTTAAATTTCTTTGAGATGGATACCATTGAAACTGCTACCAATAATTTCAGCCTGTCAAATAAACTAGGACAAGGTGGATTTGGTTCAGTTTACAAGGTAAGAGAACGTTTGTCCTCTTTGTTCCTCCCTATTTCTGTGTTTATGTTCTCCAGATGACAACCATGTCCGAGCTGTTTCAGGGAAAGATGCAAGATGGGAAAGAAATCGCTGTAAAACGGCTTTCTAGCAGCTCAGGGCAGGGCAAAGAGGAATTCATGAATGAAATAGTACTTATCTCAAAACTACAACACAAAAACTTAGTTCGGATTTTGGGATGCTGCATTGAAGGAGACGAGAGGCTATTGATTTATGAGTTCATGTTGAACAAAAGCCTTGATACTTTTCTCTTTGGTAGGTCTCTTTCTTGTCTCATTTCTTTCCTAGTAGCATCTTTTACAAAATCTTGGCTGATACTTTTCTCTTTGGTAGGTCTCTTTCTTGCCTCATTTCTTTCCTATTAGCAGCTTTTACAACATTTTCGCTGATAGTTTTTACACTGTATTATTGCTTAGATTCAAGAAGAAAGCTTGAGATTGACTGGCCTAAGAGATTAAGTATCATCCAAGGTATTGCCCGTGGGCTTCACTATCTCCACCGTGACTCACACCTCAAGGTCATTCACCGAGACCTTAAGGTGAGCAACATTCTTCTAGATGAGAAAATGAACCCAAAAATAGCAGATTTTGGATTGGCTCGGATGTATCAGGGAACCGAGTATCAGGACAACACTCGCAGAGTTGTGGGAACTCTGTAAGAATATATTTTCAAACCTTGCTTAGCAAAATTAATAGTCAAAATAATATATAATTCAAAAAAATTGCACAGTGGATATATGGCTCCTGAGTATGCATGGACTGGGATGTTCTCTGAGAAGTCAGACATCTACAGCTTTGGAGTTTTATTTTTGGAAATCATCAGCGCAGAGAAAATCTCAAGATTCAGCTATGGCGAAGAAGGGAAAACTCTTCTTGCATATGTAAGCAAATCTTGTTTCATACACTTGTAGAGGTTTTGAAGATGTTTCATGCTGTAATATTCTAAGATATGAAATTTAACAACAGGCATGGGAATCCTGGTGTAAAAATGGAGGAATTGATCTTTTGGATAAAGATGTTCTTGATTCAAGTTACCCATTGGAAGTTGGGAGATGTGTTCAGATTGGTTTGCTCTGTGTTCAACACAACCCTGCAGACAGACCCAATACAATTGAGTTGCTGTCTATGCTCACCACAACTTCGGACCTTAAATCACCAGAACAACCCACATTTTCACTGCACAATAGAAATGATGGATCCTTGTGTAAGGGTTTGAGCACTGTTACTGATATAACACAATCTGCGATCCTTGGGCGTTAATATGTGTGATGGAAGTTTTTCAGTTGGAATATGTTAGATTGCTCCCAAAAGTAATACTTTTCTCAATGTTGATAACTTAAAAATTTATCTTGTTCCTTCATTTCTTTAACAGAAATTGCATCGCATATATAAACATGACTGCATAATTTGCAGATATGAAAAAGTAGTTTTTTGACTGACATGTCCTACTTTCTATGACTTTTCTACATTTATAGCTGCTTCAGCTCCACCTAGGACCTAGTTGATTTTGAAATCCGTAACTTTTTTTTTAACTTTTTAATAGTTATATTATTCAAACTGAAAATTAGGGATTTAGTTTCGGTTTACAGACACAGTTTGAACAAAAGCTCCTAAGTCAATCTATTACATTCTAGTTTCGTCCATCCATTAAAGGCGGCACATTCCACTAGTCCGATTTTCGAAATTCTTAGGAATCGGTTGCTGTTCTCAACCATCAACGATAATCATGGGAATATGAGGTTTTCATCATTGCCTCGGATGCTGGGACTTCCCAAGTTGTCTCCGGAATAGCTAGCATCCGATGAACATCTCGAAACTTGTAACCGTTACTGCCAAATGATGCGCTTGACAGACTAAAGAAGTGAAGGGATCAAGAACCATACCGAGAAGGCGCTTGAGAGACCAAGCTGTACCCACCTCCAAGTCGTCACATACGAGCAAGAGCGGGTTGATGTCGCTGCCACCACCTAAACTGAAAGTCTTTAAGAACCTGCATAGAAAATCAAGCTACACCGTCGCAAGAGAACCAAGTAGCTGATAAAACGCCGGGATGTGAAGCTAAGCTCAAGGGATGACACGGAAGCGGCTAATGACTCCCCGAGAACCGCCTCCACCACTTGTGACCACTGAGAACCAGGGGCCAAAACTACGCTGTTTGAACCCACCACCGGTTTCAGACGGAATGGATTGAACAATGAAAAACCAAAGACCAAGCCCTGATGTTGCTAGTGGCCGCTAAACACACCAAGGGAACCAGAAGAGGGGCCGAGCCCAGGAGCACCAAGATGATGCCGGAAAGAAAAGGAACTTCCGGTGGGCATAGACGACCAACAGAATCCACCAGTAGGTAGCGGATACGGCTCCCTGAAATCACGACGAAAAACTGGACAGAGCTAGGAGCCATCTCCTCCTGCACTCCAAGCTCAAATCTTGCCTTCGAAACCAAAGCCACGAAGCTCATCTAACAACGGAGAAAAGGAGTGGTTCGATTTGACGCCAAACTGAACACCAACAAGCCAAACCTCCAGATGTAGAGCAGTTTCCCTAGCAAAGAGAAGACCCCGCGACATGGACAGAAACCACACCGACACAATTCGACTACGAGAGAGACAAACGGAGTAATCGAAGAGAGAAAACTCGATCTACTCCCAACCCTGAAAGCCGACCACTCGAGAGCCACCATTGCTACAACCGCGCCATACCCCCAGAGAAGACAAAAACCCACTGGAAAAGACAAACCTTGTGCACAAGAAGCTCACCGGAGATACAACTCTCATTCTCTTCATCGTTAACTTCACCCCTTCTCTTCATCGTTAACTTCACCCTTTCTCTTAATCAATCCATCGTCATCTCCGTCAAGAAGAACTGTTCCGGCGATTCCTAAACCATTTGATTTCTAGTCACTTCTCCCATCGTAAGTCATTGATTTTTCACGATTTCACCGCTAATTCCACCTTTCTTAACTTTTCTGTTTATTTATAAAGCTCTTAATTTTACAGCATATAGAGAACTAATGGAAAACACTGTGGTACCCTCTAATTTCTTTGCTATCAGCAAAGAACCCGTTGGGCTAAGAGTCACTCCATACCACAAACCTGGAGCTATTAGGCATATCTTAGACGCACTTGATGAATACGAAATCGATGTTATAAAGGCCTCGTCTTTCCAAATATTCATGGAGTTGGCAGACTAACCACCATACTCTGGTCGGTTAGGTTGATTTATGTTATCGCGGCAGCTTAAAGTCAACAAGAAACACGAAGCTTGGTTCCTTTTCGCTGAAAACCCTATATGTTTCTCTCTTAGAGAATTCGCGATTGTTACTGGTCTCCCTTGTGGGAAATAACCCAAGACAACAAATAAAGATGTGAAGAATCTTGTTATCGAACAATCATACTACACTGCTCTTTTCAGGATGCTAAAAGAAGTCAGCGTTGCTTCGGTTATTAGGATGCTCAAGCGAAAGACTATTACCGATAAAGGGACTAGGATCAAGTACGCATGTCTCGCGATTCTTTTGTATGTGATACTGCCCACAACTCACACTCCCAAAATTTCTGTTGAGCACGCTGAGAAGATCAAGGACCTCGATGAATTTTTTTTCATATCCTTGGGGTTGGGCTTCATTTGAGATGCTTATCAGTAGCATAAAGGAAAGGGACGAGATAGCCTTATCTCAAAGAACCATTGCTATGCAAGGTTTTGTCCAGTCATTACAGATGGTCATGAAAAAAAGAGTACCAGCTTTAACTGAATTTGTCAGTCAAGACTCCGCTTGTGACGTGGTTTGAGGCGAGAATGACGAACTATTAGACACACCCCCCTCGTAATGGAATAAAACCCGCACACGCAAGGACCTTCCACACAGCTGATAATCTAAGCTGTCTTAATCTCTCCTCATTTTTATTAGTTTGCTTAGAACAATTCAACTTTTTTTTATTACACGGCTATCACACACATTAACATTAATTCACGCAGTTAACCGGGTAACTAATTGATATCTGTTTTGTTACCTATAGGTACGTGTTACATCTACTATTCCTGATGACATAGAACTCGAAGTCGATGAAGCAGAGTTGTGTTTCTCAGACGAGGAAGAAGATAGAAGGGTAGGCAGCATGGTTAGGTTAATTAACGAAGGTACCCATTCTACGAAGCAAATGTTCACAGGTGGAGCCTCAAAGGCATATGTGGCGCACATGCACGAAGAGGCCAATGCCACAACACTTGCTAGGAAGAAGAGAAAAAGGAAAAGCATTAACCATACACCTGATGACATCGTCGCTGATGTGGAGAATGTTGCATCACTTGTGTATGAGAAGATCAAAGGTGATTTCCTCAGGGTTAAAGGCAAGGTTGATGAGCTACGCGATACGTACACGCAGATGCAAGTGCTGAAAAAACATATTACCGACAACTCCTCACTCTTGCTTAACATACATGGAAATTAGAAGAATATTCTCGACTTAGTTGGCTCACTATCACCTTAGTTACAAAAGCGCTCTGAACCAACCGACCCCCCCCCCCTCTAATTTCTTCGGTGATTCTCCAAAACTCCATACATCCACCAGGCATAATATTTCCAGCAGTACAATACCGTATTCTGAAATTATGAACTCTGCCCTCAACAGCGTCCAAACCACACACGGGTACAACACAAAGGTAAATATATCTCCCGGTTGAATTTTGATTAAAATCACTAATCAAACTCTAATCTATATTATATATCGTGATAATCAGGGAACGATTAATTCTGCTGATAATCCACCCGCCACAGTAGATCAGTCTGGAACAGCTTGCTAATGAGAATGATGATCTCAACAGAGGTGCCAGTCCCCCGATAGCACACACAAATAATGTGCAAGTACCATCAGACAATCAGACACTCCGACAATCAATGTGGATGAGAATCCCGTAAGTGTTAACTTACATTTCATCGTATCTGTTTGGCGCATATTAACAGAACCCCTCCACAATTATCACTAATTCTCAGGATCTTGAGCCTTGGTTATTGTTTCCTCAGCCTTCCTTCTCTCTTGGGTTGTCACAGGAGGGTTATCAAATCGAAGCTGATACCGATGATCATATAGACCATGAAATGTCTGAACCAGAAGATGAGGTTCCTGCCGCTTCAGAGTCAATTGAGACGAAAGCTCTGGTCTCCACTAGGAAAAGCCCTCCACAATTATCACACATTCTCAGTATCTTGATCCTTGGTTATTGTTTCCTCAGCCTTCCTTCTCTCTTGGATTGTCACAGGAGGGTTATCAAATCGAAGCTGTTACTGATGATCATATAGACCATGAAATGTTTGAACCAGAGGATAAGGTTCCTCCCGCTCCAGATTCAATTGAGACAGAAGCTCTGGCCCCCATTAGGAAAAGCAGCCGCCTCAAGGCTCCCCCCAAGGCTTTGGTTGGTGTTTAGCAGTGCGACAAACGTATCCTTAATCGTTTAATTGAGTCAAAATTTGGTTTTCTCAATAAGGATGGTATTGCAGACTACCAATCGAAGATCACCAAACTTGTTGATATTATGAAGGATACTAGGTATGCTTCACGTTCAATGTCTGCCACCGTAGCAAAAAGAAGGATTCTGGTTAGAGTAGCTAGGTATTTCGGTGTATAAACGGCTAACAATCTATATATATATATATAAAGTAAAGTTCCCTCATTCTATGGGAAGCCACATCACTAATTGAGTTTCTAAAGTGTTGCCACATGGCACTTGAAAATGCAGTCTATAATTAAATCACCTTCATCCTATTGACGTACAAGATCTTTGACGTTACGAAAGTGGACTATATTCAATCATCGTAATTACAGTCCTCATTAAGATTACCCCTTCCTTCCTTTGGGTGAATCTCCAACTATAAATAAGTGAGTTTCATCTCGCTCAGATTCATCAATTTATTCCTCTTAATACTTTGCATTTAAAAATTTTAGAGATAAAAATTATAATTCCGTTCTTTTCCTTGCTGAGTTGAAAACTGACCTTTGTACCACCACCGTTGATGTTTAGCTGTTGAGGTATTGGGAGGCCAGATGGATCATATCTGAAGGAGCACCACCTACGTCGCGTCTCATCACCGATTAACCTCCACCAGCACGCCACAAGCTCGAAGAAACCTGCACCGCCGTGAATCTAGAGAAGAGACACTGCAGAAGGCTTGGGTTACACGTCTCAGATCTGATCCCACCAATATGATTTGTAAAGTCGGAGACTACAAACAACGCCGGTGACCCGCTACATCTATGCCG